CAGCCTTAAGGGACTGTAGAGGTCCAACTCTACACATATACGTGCAAACCTTCCCTTCTTTTGGCATAGTGTTTTCGTGTCGATCTTCAAAACTCTGCCCACTTGCAAACCCAGGACGTGGAGAATACCTTGATCGTAATAGTTGAGAGGCAACTTAGCAATACGAATCTAGGCAGCAACTGTAGATATAACTTCTTTCTCAAGATCAAATCAGACTTCCAAGGTTGGACTGCTAAGTAATGATCGTAAACGAGCCATGGCCCCCCTGTCAGAGCCAGATCATAATCTGCCTCCTTAGAGAATTGCACCGCAAAGAAGCCTGAGCCAATGTCAATGGTCTTTACCTCCCCATACTTGCCTAACAACTGTTGAACCTTTGTTTCCAAGTATTTCGGGTTTACCATGCGGCCTAATAGTTTCACAATCAAAGCATTTTTCCAACACTAGGCCAATCGTTCCTTCTCATGCTCAGGGATAATCACGTTGGGACCTCTCTCAGTCATCTCGACCTAGGTTCTTTCTTTCCATCTACCTCCACTCCACCAATCCTCCTCTTCCTCTACGTCTTCCATTCCATTAGTCACAACCTGCTTGAACGACTTCCCTTTAGGGCCCTTCTCAATCGAAGGCCCTTTTGGCCTGTACCCTTCTGGACTCGTTGTCCTTTCCTCATGCGTCCAGTCCTCATGTCGAGGAACAAGAATATGCTCATTCGTGAACAACCCTTTACCTGTGTGGACCCTTTTTCGGCTTCGTTCGAAAGCATCAGCTTCCTCCAACGACGGCGCCCTCGGGCTCTCACACATTCTGGTTTATTTACTGATCATAATGCGTGCTAACTCTGATTTTTAATATAAGAGCTTATTTGATTTTTATTTTGGTTCTAAATATAAAACCCTAATCTACTTTGTCTTTTATATTTATCTATTTTTTTTGCCAATGTAACCCTTGTAATAATAGTAGTTCTAGTCAATACACTTAATTAACAAGGATATTTTTGAAAATACAACACATATTTATTGTAAATAACTAACTTAATTTTCTTAATCTATTCAAATTAGTTAACTAACTCCTATATTAAGAACCAGAGGTAGTATTAAATTGGGATAAAATTGAAAAGTAATTGAATTTTAAATGAGAATTAATAAAGTTTAAGGTTTTTCTTGATTTATGTGAAACATGTTAAAAATAACTTATAAATAAGACAGAAGAGTATTAAAATTAGGTTTAAATTTCTTATAATTTTCCTTTTTACTTGTCATCTTTTATTTTAAATACTTATTAATGTTACAAATAACCGCAAACTCGTCGTTACTAATTTTTTTATCATCTTATTTTATAATTGCTAGCATTAAAAAGGTTTTTTTTTTAGTCCAGCATTAAATAGGTTTAAAATATGCTTTTTAAAATTAAAATTATTAAAGGGAAAATGACATAGTTGAAAATTACAATATTCCAATTTAAGTACTTAAGGAGTCAAAATTTTAGGGGAGGGAGTGGTGCTTGTTTTGGTATTTCAAATGACTAAAATGCCCTTTTGTAAGATTTTTTTTAAGAAAAAAATATCAAATTTGTCATCATCAGTATATTTTTTTGTCATTACTTGTTAAACATTTGTCATTATCAGTTCCCAACTTATTAATAAATAACTTATCATTGCCAGTATATTTCTTGTCATTTGTTGTTCAATGCTTGTCATTGCTAATTCACAACTTGTTAATAAGTTTTTTGATACAAGGGCATTTTTGTCATTGAACTACATTTGCAAAATATCATATCAAATAAGTTAAAGTATACATTTGGTTATTTAACTTTGTACAAAGTTTTAATTTGGTCCCTTAACATTAAAAAGTATACTTTTAATTCTTTAAAATTTCTTAAAAAAATGGTGACATTAAAGTTTTAAATGTTGATAAAATATTTTCAAATGTTAACATATTAAATTTAATTTTCAAAATATTCATGATTGTTATAGAAAATTATCATTAAAGCCTAATGATTTTAGGGTTAAAGGACCAAATGTATGCTTTTTAAAATTAAGGGACCAAATTAAAACCTTGTATAAAATTAAAGAACCAAATGTATACTTTAGCCTATCAAATATTATTTCCCCCCCCCCAAATTTTAACTTCTTAAATACCTAAATTAAAATATTATAATTTTCAACTTCTTTTTTATATCTTAATATCAAAGTAATTCTTTCCAAACATAACATGGGCAATAATGTATTGGGAAAATTGCAAATAAAGACCTTTGAAAATATAAAATAGCAATTTAGGTACTTCAATTTACAAAATTGCTGTGAGAGACCGGGTCTCAAATATGAATTATAAAATGTAAGGAAAAAGACTAAATTGCCCTTCTTCTCTTTCTTCCATCACCTTATCTTCTTCTCTTTCCCATTGCGGTCCAATCCAGGAGTTCTCTCTTCCCTCTCCTCCTCTTTCTTCCATCACCTCATTTCTTTCTCTCTTCCAATGACCTCAAGGCTCTACGTGGGGTGTGTGAGTTAGTGGGGATTTAGTTTAGGGAGCATGGTGGAGCGATTTTATCGACTAAGGAGAGAGATTTTTTAACTGGGAAGATTAATGAAAGGTCAGTGCTCAATGGGGGCTAGAGTTATAGGGATTTATGGATGAGAAATTCTGGTAAAAATTGGATCGATGACAAAGTATAGATCCCCATTGCTCTGTCACTGCATCCAACTACTTGTCCACTCTAAGTTCCACTGTGACAAGCAAAGCGAAGATGAATTCAAGGGGTGGGTGGAACTATCAATTTCACGCGCGTGTTGAAGAGCTTGGACGCAGGCCTTCTCCCATTGCACGAAATATTGACGTGGAACAAAGAGAAGGAAAGCACATGTGCGGTTTGGTTGGGAGAATTGGACTGACCCCTTCACAGTGTTGCTCAATCACAGAAGATCGAATGGGGTTTTGATTGCAAGATTGGGCCTGCCCTTTGATGGATGCTATTAGGTTGGGAAGAATGATATGAGGTAGGGGCATCCTAGATCTGCGACCATGAAAATGATGATGAGCAATATTTTTTTAGCAACCATGGGGAAAGAATCAAAGCGGAGGAGCTTGGGCACCTAAGATGGTGTTTTTTTTTCCCTTGGTTTTGTTTCCTTGATTTTAGTTTTGCTTCTTTCTCCCCCTCACATTACAGGATCTCTTCTTTTTTCTTATTTACTCATTTCAATAGAGAAATTAAAATTATATGAAACTTGTTATTAGTCTTACTTAACTTGTCATTTACCTAATTGAACTTGTCATGAATCCTATCTCAGAAGTGTTTACTATCAAGAAAATCTGCAAATTCTAATTTTAACAGAGAAATTTAAAATTGTGTCAAAACCTTATAAAAACTTGTCATTAGTCTTACTTAACTTGTCATTGGCTTAACTGAACTTGTCATTTTATAAATAAATGTGGAAATTCAGCTATTTTAACAGAAAATCTCAAATCTGTATGAGTAGCTTATCAGAAGTTGTCATTGGCCTTACTTAACTTGTCATTTCATAAATAAATGTGAAAACTCAATCATTCTAACAGAGAATCTCAAATTTGTATGAAAACCTTATCAGAAGTTGTCATTTGGCTAACTGAACTTGTCATTTCGTAAAGAAATATGAAAATTCTGTCATCTTAACAATTTAAGCTCAAATTTATATGAGTAGATTATCAGAAGTTGTCATTCAACTTATTAAAGCTATCATTAGTCTTACTGAAGTTGTCATTCATCCAAGAATGTGAAAATTGTCATTTTAATGCACAAACTTAAATTCCTATTAAATGTTTATCAGAACTTGTCACTTATGTTACTAAACTTGTTATTCATCTTAATAAACTTGTCATTGGCATCTCATTGGCATTACATCAACACTTGTTATTAAAAGTTTGCAATAGGAAATGACAAGTTAGTAATAGAAAATTACAACTCTGCAATAAAAAATAACAAGTTTATAATAGGAATTACAAGTCTGCAATATGGAATTACAAATCTGCAATAAGAAATAATAAGTCTGCAATAGGAAATAACAAGTCTATAATAAAAAATAATAAGCCTGAAATGAAAAATCACAACTCTGATATAGGAAATTACAAGTTTGGAACAGAAAATAACAAGTCCAAAATAGAGAATTATGAGTCTAAAATAGAAAATTACAGGTTTAGAATAGAAAATTATAAATCTCTAATAGAAAATAACAAGTCCAAATAACCATCTAACATCAATGACATCAAAGCTAATTTTGAACATTTCTTGACAATATTAGGTTCAAGCAATTATCTGATAACTACATTCATGGATAAAGGAACATATAATTATCATTTGATAACATATAATCATCTGAATGAGGGCGTGTTATTAGTAGGCTAGGCTTCATTCACCTGTTTCTCAAAATGCATCCTCTTCAAACCCTGCAACAAGGATGTTAAGAGTTGTTAGCTTATACTTGAAAGGCTTGGATTTCAACTTTTGTGCTTCTTGTTGGGCTGATTGATTATTTGTTCATCCCTTTCTAACTTTAGAGATAAAAAACTTTGGGACCTACGCGGGTGCTTCACTTGCTTGGTTGAAAGAGCTAAAAAAAAAAAAAATCCTACCCACCCACAACTCAGCACAAACACAAATGAAATCTATTTGATGTATTGTCACAAATACTTAGTTGAAATGCTTAGTTGAAAGAGTAGGACGAAGCGGGAGAGAGGAGAGAAGGATATGGGTTTATGAGAACGAAGCAGAGGAGGATATGTGAAGCCAGTGGGTATTTTTGTCTTTTAATCAACATTTCATAATTGCAAATTGGGACCGGGTCCTCTGCAGTAATTTTTCAAATTCAAGGTTCTTGGTTGCCATTTTATATATTGGGAGGTCTTTTTTTACAATTTTTCCTAATGTATTTTTAATTTAGTTTTGTAAAATAGAAGTGTTTTTAATTGACATTTCTTCATTCCAAGGCAAAGGGAAATACCCGAAAGTGGCAGAGAAATGACGTTGCCAGTTTCCCTTCTTCTCCCTGAACTGAATATAAAAATCCCTAATTCCAGCGCACATAAACCCTTTCCCTGCCACTCTTATCTCGCTCTTATCCCTCTGTTATTGACGTCACAGTAACTCTCTTTGATCTATATTCCATTCCATTGGTGTTTATTCCGATTTCATTTCGCTTTCTTTTTAGAATGATGGACGGAGTTCATGGCGGTATGGCGAGTTCTGCGGTGGCGAATGTGAATTCTCCGCCGCCATTCCTCAGCAAGACCTATGACATGGTCGACGACCCTTCCACAAACTTGGTGGTCTCATGGAGTGATAATAACAACAGCTTTGTTGTTTGGGATGTGCCCGAATTCGCTAGGGACATCTTGCCCAAGTATTTTAAGCACAACAATTTCTCCAGCTTCGTCAGGCAATTGAATACTTACGTGGGCTTCTCTTATCTTTTCTCCAACACCCCATCATCATTATATTGAAGTCTTTTCACTTGTAATTTGGATTTACTTGTTATGCTGGTTGATCATCGTATATCTTTCCTTCCTTGATTGTGATTTGATTTTGGGGGCAAAGGGGGTCGTAGTTACTTTTAGAGTGCGATCAATTGCATGACTCTGACCGGGGATGGAGGATCGTTGTGCTGATATACTGAATTTTTGGAGTCTTTTTTTTCGCTCCCTCTTGGTCCTATGACGGAGATATACTGAAGGAATCATTGATAACGGTGCCAGTGAGGTGTGATAGTGGAAGTGGATTTGTGTTCGTGCTTTCTGGTGGTAATTTTTTTTTCTTTGGGATTTTCTTTTTTCCTTTGGGGGGGTTTTTTGGGGAGTGGAATTACGGGTGCTTTCATCAGCTTCTAGCAGTTGGAGAAATATCCAGAAACTTGAAAATTTTATTTGAAATATGTGTCTGTTACTTTGTTCATTTTAGTCGAAAGTAGATACTCAGATCAGCTGGATTCCTGCTTGATTCTTGTTCTTTGGTATCACTAGTTTCGGTAGTTTATTTTTCTTGATGATATTCAAGAGACTCTATATAAGTTTGAAGAGGCCATTGATCCATCATCCTTATCGATCGTTGTGAAATCTATTTAATGTGTGCAGTTCGTGGATTCTACCTGTAGTTGTTACTGGGTTTGTAATTGGTGATTGGAAACCTGTGGTTTTGTTGGCTCAAAAGAATTGGTTTAGTCTGTGGCTAGGCATTTGCATACAAACATTTATCCATCCAGCTATGAGGTGGATCAGCTGCTACTCCTCCGAGACCTAAAAAATTATGCATCATTATTTTTGCCTCTCATTTAGGACTATCAGCAATAATTTCTCTGTGGACTTTTGGGAATCTCTTTCATGTAGCTTCGTGTTCATGTTAAAAAGTGTTTCTAGTTTTGTGGGTAATATCTTTGATTGACTTAAACTGTTCCATTTTTCCTCGTACTTAATCTTCTTTTATTCCATTCATCATACCTTTTTTTCCTCTTTTGTTGTTGTTGTTGTTGGTGGTGGTGGTGGTGGTGTTGTGTGTGTGTCTGTGTTCTCCTTACTTATTTGATCGCTCAACCAAACACATATAATTTCTAGTTGATGTCAATCTTTGGTAATGCTTTGAGCAAGCAACTCCATTTTATTTTGAGGACACTTATTCAAATGGAATTTTTCTCTTTAAAATCGTGTGTGTATGCTCTCTCTTGCATGGTATGTTGTTAACCCTTTGGGTTTGATGATTGGTTAAATGGATTTGATAACTTTATATAAAGCGTGTGATGAAGATTCAACTCTGTGTGTGTGTGTGTGTGTGTGTGTGGGGCTTGTCGTTAATTTATATTCTCAAACTTGCAGATCAGCTTACACCCTCTAAGGGTATGCCCGACTTTGCTAAATTTGGAGTAATAAGGAAAAATTTTGGTTATATCTGTATTTGTGTTGTAAGTTAGCAAAGTAAACTCAATTTTTTCCTGAATGGATATATCACTGCTCCGACAATAGTTAAAAACTTCATTACATGTCAAATCTTGTATGTGGATTTTACTTTGTTTGACTTGAATAAATGTTATTAATAAATTTATTTTTCTCTCTCTTCCTGCATTGGCATTTAGTTTCTAGTAAATTGTTAAAAACTTCATCAGATGTCAAATCTTGTGTGTGGATTTTACTTTGTTTGACTTGAATAAATGTTATTAATGAATTTATTTTTCTCGCTCTTCCTGCATTGGCATGTAATTTATAGTAAATTGTTAAATACTTCATTAGATGTCAAATCTTGTGTGTGGATTTTGGTTTGTTAGTAATAAATTTGTTTTTCTCTCTCTTCCTGCATTGCCATTTAGCTTTTAGTAGTTCATTCTCAGTAACTTGGGGGGTATTGTAGCCGAGGAATAGACTCCCAAACATAAGGATTGAGGATTCTTTAGTTGGTGCAAGAAACGTATGGAGCTTACCCATCATTTTAAGTTATAATATTTTAAGTTATCATAATTATAAACCCCAACCTATCTTAGGGGATCTGATGGGAACAGAGGATGTGAGTAGAAATTCAAGTGTGGCAACAACATAACCACCAGCCTTATACTGCAGGGCAATGATTACAATCAACTAATAGGATGGTAGATGTACGTGTGATGTTTAATTACGACAATCGTCCAGTGCTAACCAACAGATTTTAACTCAAATACTAAAGAGGCTTGTTCCTCACCTACCTTGAGCTTAAATTGCTGGGAAGCTGTCGGAAGGCATAGGGAAGGCCATTTGGACCAACAGGTAGGGAACCGCTTACTCTTCATGTTCAGCCTAGGAAACTTTACTGAAATATCCAGATAAAAACTATAGTGCTACTTTTCGAAATTGATTGCATTTGTACTTGGAAACTGATTGTTGTTTGAATTTTCTTCTACATAATGCATTGTCTATACATACAGACAGACATACATGCATGCATGCATGCATATATAACACAACTCTTGTTGCATTTTCTTCTGTTTACTTTTTTTAGTCTTAATTTTACTTAATCACCTCCTTTTAATTGACAATTAGGGTTTTAGAAAGGTTGATCCAGACCGCTGGGAATTTGCAAATGAAGGATTTTTGAGAGGTCAGAAACAACTTTTGAAGGGTATCAGTCGGAGGAAACCTGCTCAAGTGAACGGTAGTCAACAGCAATCTCCGGCACAGAACAAACCTGTTGCGGCATGTATTGAGGTTGGAAAGTTTGGGCTTGAAGAAGAGGTTGAAAGATTGAAAAGGGATAAGAATGTTCTTATGCAAGAACTTGTCAGGTTGAGACAACAACAACAAGCAACTGATAACCAATTGCAAAGTGTTGGGCAACGTGTACAGGTTATGGAGCAGCGTCAACAACAAATGATGTCATTTCTGGCAAAGGCCATGCAAAGCCCAGGATTCTTGGGACAGTTTGTACAGCAGCATAGTGACAGTAACAGACATATTACTGGTGGCAATAAAAAGAGGAGGCTTCACAGGCAGGATGAAGGTACATTACCCTCTGATCATCTCTATGATGCTCCTGATGGACGTGTTATTAAATATCAACCTTCTATGAATGAGGCTGCAAAAGCAGTATTGCGCCAGATATTGCAGATGAATACTTCTTCAAGGAGGGAATCATCAATAAATAACTCCGATGCTTTTCTCATTGATGATGTTCCTTCTGCCATTGCATTAGATAGTGGGAGTTCCTCTAGCCGGGCTTCAGGAGTGACTCTTTCTGAGGTTACACCTACTTCTGGCCCGTCTTATATGGCAGGGCAATCACAATTGCCTGTTAATCGTACTCCCACCAACACATCTGAGATGCAATCTTCCGGTGCTGTGTTGACAGACCCTGTTAAAGTAGCTGAATTTCCAGGATTAAATTTACATAATTGCCCAGAGAATGTTTTGGGTATTGGTGAAGTCCAAGGTGTGGAGACAGAGAGCAGTTTAGTGAATCCTGAACTCACTTTTGCGGGGCCTGACACTGGGAATGCGGGGGACATAGACATGATGTCAGCAGTTTTGGATGGGACACAGTCTGTAGAATTAGAAACTGATGCCTTTTCACCTGATCCAGATGGAATTTCTAAGCTCCCAAGCATTAGTGATGTTTTCTGGGAACAGTTTCTCACAGCAAGTCCGCTTACAGGCGATACAGATGAAATCAGTTCTTGCTCTCTTGGAGATGGTTTGACTAAGGAAGGCGAAGTTCCATCTAGAAGGGAGAATGGACAGGAAAAGTTGGATAAGATAAAACATATCGATCATCTTACTCAACAGATGGAACTTCTTGCTTCCAAAACTTCCTAATTGTATTTATGTTTCTTGCCGAGAAAGGTAAAATTTTAAATGAGCGTTTACTATATCAAGCATGCTGTTTGTATATGTTTCATACACTCAAAAATAGGCTGCGATTAGCATACGTCATGTTGCTAAGGTCTATAGAAAGGTTTGTCATGTATATGATTAACAAGGAACTTGTTACAGAAGTATTATTGATGTGGATTTGTTTCTGAGAATACGTGGACCTTTACGGACTTTGAAAAAAATTGTCTTTGCTGCAACCTTATGTTTTATATTGAGTGATGATGCCATACTCATCTAGAAGGGGGTGCTTAAGGGTAAAAGAGACAGCTAAGAGTGCATTTATTTGAGTTGCCAATATTTGTTGTCATGATTCCTGACCGTGTTGAGGTCCTTTGCAGCTGAGCAGAACAAAGTCATCCACATCTACAAAAAGACACCTGACAGATATAACCAAATTCTGAGAATACTCTTCCCTCCCATTTGCTTATCTGCTTTGTGTTGTGTTCTGTTTGGCAAAAATCTGACCAAACTTAAATGAACTATAGCCCTATTTGTAGTTTGATAAATTGTGTGCTCAATTCCCAGACTAATTAGGCCGCCCTCTGCCTCCTTCTCTTAAACGGTTGTAATATTTTATTTCGGTGGGTAATGTTGCGCTTTAATGTTGTTTCCCTACCCTTCTTTCCACGAGTAAAATCATATGTCCCTTTTTTTATCAAATAATTTGATTCAGATTAATTTTTGGGAAAATCACTAACAGGTTCCACAGAAGGCAATTTATTACTCTGAGGTCCCACGAAATGTCAAAATCACTGACAGGTCTCAAGGGACCTCAGAGTAATATTTTCGTTTTGTAAAATGACATTACTGCCCCTCATATTCCAGATTCACATTTGCTCTATCATTACGATTTACAACCTCAGCAGTGACTATTAACAACCTAATGAGAGGGCGTTAACAATCCTAGCAGTATCCGTTAACAACTTACTTTATAGAATTATATAACCTCTACATAAGAGTAAATTATAACCAAATAATATAATACAACAACTTTAATGCTAAAATGGGAAGCTTTTTTATATCATTAAGAATTTTAACTAGATCCAATAGGATTATAGTAATATTTTAATGCGAATATCCATTTACAATCTCAACAGCGATTATTAACAACCGAATGAGAGGGCATTAACAACCTAAGCAGTAGCCGTTAACAACTTACTTTATAGAATTATATAACCTCCGCATAAGAGTAAATTATAACCAAATAGTATAATACAACAACTTTAATACTAAAATGGGAAGCTTTTTGATATCATTAAGAATTTTAATGAAATCCAATAGGATTATAGTAATATTTTAATGCGAAGATCCATTTACAACCTCAATAGCGACTATTAACAACCGAATGAGAAGGCATTAACAACCTAAGCAATATCCGTTAACAACTTACTCTATAGAATTATATAACCTCCGCGTAAGAGTAAATTATAACCAAATAGTATAATACAACAACTTTAACACTAAAATGGGAAGCTTTTTGATATCATTAAGAATTTTAACCAAACCCAATAGGATTATAGCAACATTTTAATGCGAAAATCCATTTACAACCTCAACAGTAAGTATTAATAACCTAAGGAGAATTGTTAATAACCTTAGCAGTGTCTGTTAACAACTAACTTTATTGGATAATATAACTTCTAACTATAACTAACTAAACTATAACTAAATAGTCTTAAAGTTAATCTTATATAGTTGTTAGAGGTTATATTATCCTATAAAGTCAATTGTTAATAGATACTGCCTAGATTGTCAACAGCTCTCTTTGGGTTATTAATACTCACCATTGAGATTGTAAATGGATTTTCGCATTAAAATGTTGCTATAATCCTATTGGGTTTAGTTAAAATTCTTAATGATATCAAAAAGCTTCCCATTTTAGTATTAAAGTTGTTGTATTATACTATTTGGTTATAATTTACTCTTATGCGAAGGTTATATAATTCTATAAAGTAAGTTGTTAACGGCTACTGCTTAGGTTGTTAATGCCCTCTCATTCGATTGTTAATAATCGCTGTTGAGATTGTAAATGGATATTCGCATTAAAATATTACTATAATCCTATTGGATCTAGTTAAAATTCTTAATGATATCAAAAAGCTTCCCATTTTAGTGTTAAAGTTGTTGTATTATATTATTTGGTTATAATTTACTCTTATGTAGAGGTTATATAATTCTATAAAGTAAGTTGTTAACGGATACTGCTAGGGTTGTTAACACCCTCTCATTAGGTTGTTAATAGTCGCTGCTGAGGTTGTAAATCGTAATGACAGAGCAAATGTGAATCTGGAATATGAGGGGCAGTAATGTCATTTTACAAAACGAAAATATTACTCTGAGGTCCCTTGGGACCTGTCAGTGATTTTGACATTTTGTGGGACCTCAGAGTAATAAATTGCCTTCTGTGGGACCTGTTAGTGATTTTCCCTTAATTTTTCCCACCTTTCGATTTTCTTTTTGATTAAAATTGATGTATCCACGATTCATGACAAACTCTTTTTATTAATATCATTAATATTTTAAAATTTACTTATTATTATTTGGTTTAACAAATGTGTGAGGTTAAGAATTTAGTTTTTGTCCGGTTTAAAGTTCAAATAAATAAACTGTTGTCTAACGAACGAAACTATACCATAAAAGTCAATTATTAAAAAATGATAACGAACAAATATTTATGAGATCATAAATAATATTAATAACATTAACATAATTAACCATTTTCATATAAAAATAGATAAATGAAAGGATCTAAACGGACTGGCATCCTACTCTAAAGGTTCGGCTTGTTTAGGTTTTCAGTTCATTAGTTCAGATGCCTAAATCCCAAGCTTGATCTTAACAATTCTCAAATCTGAAAGTGGTGGCTCATTTTTCTACTCTAGGGCGAAGTGTGGATGGAAAGAAAATGAGAACTAAACAAGTCAATAATTGATTTTGTGATTTGTGACTCCCAAACGAAGTTGGGATTGGTATGCCATAAAAGACCTTTCCTATAATATCTTGAATGATTTAGCAGTTATCCCACAGTCCTTAAATAGGAAGCAGCTGAGTGTATCTGATGCCCCTCAAAGACCGGTGTCTGCAACTATGAAAGGAAGATGTCTAATTGCTAGGAATTAGGATGAGGTGGGCCCATATTGGAAGATAGTGAAGAATGGGTTTGGTGCTTAGCAAGTTTGAATCTTCCTATGGTAAAACAAGCTTCTACAAACACTGAGAAGTTGTTTGACTCAAATTGACACTTATGAGCTATCTTATTATCTATCCTCTTTCTTTCCCCAACTGGCAGCTTATTGTAGGCACTAGGAAACTAAGATCTCCATGCACAGCTCACATGCACTGGCAGACGATGGCGACCTCAGCTGTAGACGGTGAGAGCAACTCGGACTTGTGATGAAGGAGCAGCCTCTAGCAGGCCACTCACACCTTACACCCAACACGGTGACCTCATGCCGATGACACGACAGAGCTCACAGCGACCAGCGACGGAGCTTTTGGGAGGAGGTGACAGAGCAAGTGGGATTGGCGGAAGAGACGGGACTCGCAAGTGAGAGGTTTGAGGAAAAAAAAAACAAAGTGAAATCGCAAGGGAATAATGCCAGAAGGGAGAGAAAAACAAAGAGGGAATAAATTCTCTGACACACCACAAAACGATCCTGAATTAAGCTCTTCAGACTTCAAAAATAAGCTCTTTTTCTTGGCTTAATTTACACCACACGGTCAGCCAACTTATTTTCAATAAGCCCAATATGTTATAAGCCCTCCCAAACATTAGATCAACTTTCAAATCGGGCTTGTGTTAAAATTAACTCACATTTGGGCCAGCAAACACTAATCCAAACAGACATTAAGTGAAGATCTCAGCTTTTTTAACTTTTTGAATTGTCCTATTCTAACCCTTTTCTAGACTCAAATGATTAACCACACGTACACTCACTTTTTCCAAACAATTTGGAATTTTGATTTCACAACCCTTTCAGACATTACTAAGTTATAAGGTTGTGGACACAAGGTATGAATTTGTGAATGAAACATTATCATTAACTCAAAGCAAAACTAACTTCTTAGATTCAAAAAGTCAGATTGGGTCCAAAATGATGTTTGGTATGATTTTAGGGATAATTTGTACAAATTACAATTTATTTAAAAATATGATTGTAATATGAACCAAACCAAGCCAAACGGTTTCTTTTTCCTAGAAGAACCGTATTTAATCGAGATTTTCAGTCTTAACGTTTTAGAGGTGTTTGGATATTCTCAAAAATACTTCTCAAAAATACTTTTTGACAAATCGAGACAAACTATGATTTAAGGCTTGTTTGGTTTCTTGTTTTGATAATAATTTTTTATTTTTAAAAACAAAAAAATAAAAAATTTGTTTGGTAATTTGTTTTTAGTTGATTGTTTTAAAAAACAAAAAACAGGAACATGTTTTTAAAAACGAAAAAATCAAAACAACTTTTACATTTTTTTGGTCTTATTTTTGCATTTTTTATTTTTTGTTATGAAAATTTTTGAGAAATTTTCTTCTCTTCTTACTTACTATCCACTACTTACCATTATCAGCGATAACTATCACCTACCAAATGTGATTTTCTACAGTTTTTTTTCAAACATGATTTTTTAAAATTATTATCCAAACAATTTTTTTTTTGTTTTCAAAACTTATTATAAAAACAATGTTATAAAATTGTTTTGAGAACAAGAAAACAAAGAACAAAGGGCCCTTAGTTTCTATCCAAACATTCTCTTTTAATCTTAGGGGGTGTTTGGATAAGAACAAAACTATGGTTTCAAAAGTGTTTTTACGATATACGAAGGCCCCGTTTGGGTGACACCCCAAACCATGGTTTGGAAACCCAAACCATGGTCTGAGTGATAAGTCACCCAAACACCCACTGGTTTTGGGCAAACCGTGGTTTTGGACCAAAACCATGGTTTTGGTTTCAAAACCATGGTTTTGGACCAAAACCATGGTTTTGGAAAAAGCAGAAATTTTTTGCTTTTGGAGAAAAAAGGAAGAGTGTGAGAGTTTATAGGATATGTATCTTGTTATTTTTTTAATAAACATATTTTTTTATAAACATATTTAATCTTATATTTTAAAAATATATACATATTAATTATTAATTAATTATATTATCTTATGTATTATTAATTATGTTAATAAAAAATATATTATTAACAATTTTATTCCTCCAAATTAAAATATATCATAAAATCTATTTTTTCTGTAATTATCATATTAACTTATGTCTTTTTTTTTAGTAATTTGTATATATAAAAAGTGCTTCTGATAACAACTATCCAAACACTCTCACTTCTCAAATCACTTTTTCATAACATTTATTCTTTCCAGAATCTATTCTTCCCAGAATCTATTCTCCATAATCACTTTTCCAAACCACGGTTTGGTTTCATCCAAACACACCCGAAGTAAATATGTAGAGGGAGTTTGCCTCGATTTGCAGAAAAGTGTTTTTGAAAAGTGATTCTGAGATTACCAAACACCTTTTTAGGGGGTATTTGAAAACATCCAAACCATAGTTTCAAAAGTACTTTTCCGCAAAACGAGACAAATTCCTTCATATATTTACTTTGTAAACCGTAAAAGCACTTCTGAAATCATATTTCGTTTCTATCCAAACACCCTTTTAATCTTGAGTTGCAGCCCTGGGCGGGGCCAAAAAAACCAAAAAAAGACATGCACCAAAAAAAATCTCGGATCTTGCCTGGCCTGAGCTGGTAGATATGATCCCTGCTAACCCGCACCGACCCGTAACTCGCTCTTGCCGACGTGATGTGGACTTTTTTTTTTTTTGGGTCGGACGACGTGATGTGATTCAGCAGACGCTTTCTTCCTTCTGTACTCACAACCGATGCCTGGTTCCATTTTTTGGAATCTGGACATAGCTCGAGAACTCGTTCGCTATCCGCATTCCTTCATAGTCCAAGTCTGCTTCTGGCGGTATTTCTTTTTGTTTTCTAATTTTTTTGAAGTTCGCCATTTGAGTGTAAGTTGATGGTTTAGCTAGTTCTTCTTTCCATTTCACATGCCAATGCATCACATATTGCGCTTCGTTGTTATAATCGTTTTCACGTATATTTGGTGGCACATTGATGCAGCAATTCATGGTGTTATTTTGGAGGGTTTGAACTGGTGTGACGATTGGAGAAGAGAGCTAGTCCTCTATCCTCGTAATTACCTTTTGAAACGTCACAATGAGAAGGTAGGGTAAAAGAAGTAGCAAAGGCTATATAATCATTTCTTCTCTTCTATGGTTTCTTATTTAATTATTTATTTTCTATAGTTTAACTTCGTTGTTTTGTGATTGTTGCGGGGCTGGGAATCACAGGCAGCACTTGAAGCATGGAGGAGGGGGAGGAATAAGTAGGATGATGATTAAGTTGTCAGTTGCTGTTGCGGTGCTATTGATTTGTACAGTCTCGTTGTTGTTCTCATCAACATTCACTACTAGTGTTAAATCCAACGACTCGACAGAGGTGAGATGAGACTTTGAATTATAGTGCGATCAGTGAACTGGGTTTGTCTACATCACACAAATGATACAACATAAGGAAGGCAATGATTTGGATTCTTTGATTGCATATTTCTGCCGAATTTGTGCCCTTGGGATATTTGGATCTAACTTGACATTAAGTTGAATGGCAATGATGATAAACAGAGAAGCATCTCTCTGTCTGTCTAATCAAGTAATTGCCAGCCATCCAAATTAATTGAAAAAGTTCATCCGCTAAGCATAACTTTCAGGTGACTGGTGGGCTAGCTCTTGCCCATAGGGCATAGTGGCATGAAAGAAATGCTAAACTCTTGATGGCTAATACATTGGTCCAAACAATATATCAATATAAAAAATAAAATTTATAGCACGTCGTGCTATTCACCATTCATAAATAATGCGGCCTATTTTTTAGTCATGAACTCTTTTTGCAATGCAAAAAGAAGCATGTCTGGTTTTTAACAATTCTCTTGTTAATAGTTGCTTTTAAAACTAGGGCAGAGAACTACAGTATTGATTTAATCAGAATTGACCCCTTAATCAGTGCATGATGCACAGACAGAACTGATCAAGCTATCCCAAGTCTAAGTACAAATTACCCTCTTTATATTGTTCATAAGGATAAATAGGTGGTTATAATAGTTAGTGACTACTCCTTCCATTTTAGATTATAAGCCCATTTTTGTAAAGTACTGTGTTTCAAGGTGTAAGGCCATTTATGGAATTTTATGTGCAATTAATGTCTTTTTATCAAAAATGTCCTTAGAAGTGTATTAAAATTACTTGCCTAGAAACGAGTTCACTTACTAGATACTTTTTTTTTTTAAATGGATGTGGGTTAGTTAAAATGGCCTTATAATATGAAATGGAGGGAGTACTAACTATTTTTCAGTTGCCCATAACAACAAACGGAGACAGCTGACATAATCTCATGTAACTGTGCCCCAATCTGAAATATATTGAATTAATCAATGACACCATTTCTGAGAAATATATTGTCATAATCACAAGCCCTAAGTTAAATGGAAAATTGTTGAGTGTACTGAAAAGAAAAATGATAGTTTTTCCCTAAGCTCTCTTTATGAGTGCTTGTTCCTTCCTCGTATCAGGGATTGACGATTCTTCCTTACTTGTGTTTAAACAGATCCATTTGGAAGAACTTTGGAGTGGTGCTGATTCCGGTGGTTGGAGGCCATCATCAGTTCCCCGATCTCATTGGCCACGTATCTTTCTTCTTTCTTAATTGTAGCTTTCTTCTTAACGTAGAAATTTCTGAATTTGCTGTTGTTGCATTCAATGTTGATTATAAGTTGTGGCAGCTCCTCCAAATGAGAGCAATGGCTATTTGCGTGTTCGCTGTAATGGTGGACTGAACCAGCAGCGCAGTGCGGTTTGTACATTTTTCTCAACTTCAAATTCTGTAGCCTTTTTCTTCTGAATAAATTATTCTTTGTCTTTTTTCATGGAAAGAAAGTTAAAAGAAATACTTAGTGCTAACGGGACATTTGCTAATAACGCTAAGTGAATAATACAGTACTGCTGTTAAAATGGGGCTGCTCTGCTATATGGTGCTTCTCTGTAATATTAACACATTGCATTTCAATGCCATAGATTTCCAATGCTGTTCTTGCTGCGAGAATAATGAATGCTACACTTGTACTACCTGAGTTGGATGCAAATTCCTTTTGGCATGATGACAGGTAAATGATCTTCATTTTAACTCTTAATTGAGTCTTGACCTGCACCCTCCATTGATCAAATTTTGGACTCGGAAGTTGGCATGTGTTCTGTTTTTTTTTTTTTTTTTGTTGGGGGGTGTTTCAAATTTGAAAGGTACCCTTGCGGCAATAGACCTCTAAAATGACTCTGGCTAAATGCGCTAAATAAAGCACACTCTCAAGGGGAGGAAGATGCTAAAGAAAGAAAATATGGTTTATACTTCAGAATAAGGGTTGTTTGCTTTCTTTCTGAGCCCTAAGTTATATTTTATATTCCAGATTTTAGAATCATTTTAAAAAATTAAATTAGAAGTCAAAATAGGGTTTGTAATTAAGAAAGAGTAAGGAACTTTTAGTAAGCGGAGCTAGAATGAAGTTTAAGGTTGTGAGTAGGAGAAAATGAGATGGGGCAAAGGCAGATGAAGAAATCTAAGAAATAGTATCTTGAGGGAGAAGCCAAGGAGGTTATGAGTAACTGAGTATTGAACGTAAATGTTCTTTTTTCCAATTTTCTTCTCTACATTGTCAATAATGCTTGTGTGTGGGGCTGTGGTTGCTTCATCTTTTCCTGTTTGTTTGCAACAAAATAAGAATCTTGCAGATTCCCCACATCTTTGAGAATTGCTTCGGTACTTTTTTATTTAAACTTTTGGCCCCCCTGCCACATGTAAACTCATGGCATAAAAAGCAATGAAAGAGGTGATCTAGCTCTAGTAGCCAAATACCGTGCACTAAATGGCTTAAGTATCAGGCAAAGTTTTTAAGAGTTAAGTTGTTTAAACTTTATGTCAATTGATGTTTTTAATTTTTGGACAATGAATTCATGTCACCTTACAGCAAGTCTTTCTCCCCACTTGTGAGTGTCAAGTGTTGACCAAAATTGTTTTATTCGCTGTCTGAAGCTGAATTTTAATTCGTATTACCATTTAATATGCTTGGGTGTCATTGAAATAACCATAACCGTTGAACTGTTAACTTAGTGCAGTGGTTTCCATGGGATTTATGATGTTGAATACTTCATCAAGACGCTGAAGGATGATGTAAAGATTGTTGAAAGCATCCCAGAAACTGTGAAAAATGGCAAAAAGAAAAAAATAAAAGCCTTTCAGGTAGAATATTGGAATTTAGTTATTGATCAGTAATCACAGGGTGGATATAATTTCAATATCCTGGATAATACTTTCCACTTCAATTTACCTCAGCTTCGACCCCCAAGAGATGCTCCTATCAGTTGGTATACGTCTGTTGCCCTGGAAAAAATGAAGGAACACGGTGCCATCTATCTTACTCCTTTTTCACATCGATTAGCTGAAGAACTTGACAATGCTGAGTACCAACGACTGAGGTGTAGGGTTAACTATCATGCTTTAAGGTTCAAGCCCCATATTATGAAGCTAAGTCAATCAATAGTCAATAAGCTTCGGGCACAAGGCCACTTCATGTCCATACATCTCCGCTTTGAGATGGATATGTTGGCATTTGCTGGGTAAGTTGTCGGGCTTTTTTTGGGGTGTCATGAACAATTTTGTTTCATTGAATTTAATAGTGTCCACATTAATTGATAGATATGGATTATTGGTATTTGTCTGTTGCCTCTCAGGATGAAAAGCATGCCTTTTTCTTTCAATTTAAATAGGTTCAGTTTAACAACAAAGGTGAAACTGGTTGATAGATCATTCCTTTAAGAGCTTCCTATATATCCAGGGACATCTATTGAATCCTTGGGTGATTTTATGCGTTAAAGCTGGCATTAAGATCAAAATTCTCCTGGTTTCTATTTAGGTATTTGTGATAGTTCGCTGACCAGGGTCCAGGGATAGTGTAAGTACCGTAGATAAAGCAACTTAGCTTTTTTTTGCTTTTTATACAGTTTACGGATTATGGATTTTAACCAAGACTCATTTAACTCTGACCCATTTTTCTGTGCCAATCTTGTTGGTACCATTCACATGCAAGTAAATTTATACACTGTCTTATATGTCTTTATTTGGGGGTCACTTGAGCCAAAGTATCTCCTACTTTTGGATTGAAAAGTGAAATAACTTGATCTCTTTCAATTGTTTAACTTAATAGAATCCAATCTTCAACCTCATTAGTTTCTGGGATATAGTAATAATTGGAGGCAGTAATCTTCTGAATGAAGCAGAGCTGAAATGGTGATAGTAAGTACTTTGGAGCTAATTAGATTTTGTATTGCAAATGTTGAATAGTTTCATGCTCTATCTGGATTCCGGAACTCACGTCTGCTGGAGTTCAAGTGTTAAAATTTAGGCATCCGCAACATTTAGATAGGATTTATCTTTCTGTCACACTTTTGAGTGTTTGATAGTTGGCTAATTAACATTTTTATATACATGATATTTAGATGCTTGGATATATTTTCTTCTGACGAACAACAGATATTGAGAAAATATCGAGAAGAAAATTTTGCACCCAAAAGACTTGTCTACAATGAAAGAAGAGCCATTGGGAAGTGCCCATTGACCCCGGAAGAGGTAAGACAGTTATGCTTATTGCCGTTTAATTTGTGTCTGGTGATTATACTTTTCAGACATATCTCTCATGAATATAATATTAACAATATTAGTTGGCCGACCCCATCAATATATCTCTCATGTTAGGTGGGCCTTATTCTGCGTTCAATGGGTTTTGACAATGCTACCAAGATATATTTAGCAGCTGGTGAACTATTTGGTGGGGAACGGTTTATGAAGCCATTTCGAAGTCTGTTTCCACACCTTGAAAATCATAGTTCCGTAGAACCTTCTGATGAACTTGCTGAGAACACTAGAGGCTTGGCAGGGTCTGCTGTGGATTACATGGTCTGTCTTCATTCTGACATTTTTATGCCAACATATGATGGCCCTAGCAACTTTGCCAACAACCTCCTTGGACATCGTCTCTATGAGGGCTTCCGGACCACGATCAGACCCGACAGAAAAGCTCTTGCTCCTATTTTCGTTGATAGAGAGAATGGGAAGACTGCTGGCTTTGAGGAAGCTATCAAGAGAGTCATGCTTGCAACAAACTTTGGCGGACCTCACAAGCGCATCACACCAGAGTCTTTCTATACAAATTCTTGGCCAGAATGCTTCTGCAAATTATCTCCTGATAACCCTGCTGACCGATGTCCATCAAATGATAGTTAATTATTTAGAACGATCAGATGCAGAACGAAGCATTTAATTACTAAAATGCGGCAATGTCTTCAGCAGAAAGATGAGAGTTGCTTCTCTACTTGAGCTAATGTTTATATTATTCCCAGTGATGAGCTGCTTTGCGCCAAGTTGAAAAGTAATGGATTCTTGTGATCAGATCCAGAATGTCAGGTTGTCTTCTCTTTCTTTTTTAGTCTCAGAAATTACACATTAATGCGAGAGATGCTGATTTGTTTATTGGTCTGAGTTTCACTTGGAACATGAAAGGAAGATCAGAAGACACTAGTTCCTCGTGCGTTAAAATGCTATCAGTGTCGCCGTTGGTACTTATTGTACTGCTAATTTGCTAGCCAAACTTTCTCATGAAGTTTTGGATAATTTTTGTACTTTTGATCATTCCCCACCTTGTTGTAGGAAAGTGGCGAAGGACGAAAGTGTGATGAGAAAGACTAGTGTAAGATTGTTGGTTGTGAGTCTTTTTTAATCCCCCCGAGTGACATTGCCTCTTTCCGTGCAAAAAATTGACATGAGAGTTTTTCTTCACCATCATTCTTATGGTCAATCTCTTATTTCTCCATATCCGCTTACTTTACCATTCGTACCAGGATACACATTATACTAAATCTCTCACCAATTCAGGTCTTGCTTTAGCATTATTTAACTAGACATTCAAATGACGCTTAATTCACAAAAATGTAATAGGAAAAGAGGGGGAAAAAACTATGAGAATATCACAATTTTACTCGAAAATAAAGGTGCCTCGGCAACTTTTCCCCAGATTCTCATGTTACGTAGTAACCAATACTGATAATGAATGTAATACATAATTTATAACTGGAAAACTATCGAACACACACGTCCACGTGCATTAAGATCAAATTAACCGCATTAAGATCAAAACCATTTATCCAGGAAGAGTATTCATTCCATAAAATAAATCAGTCTACTAACAGACAGAAACTCTCTAGACGAAGCACCCTGGGTATAAATACAAGTATACATCATGTATAAATCAATAGCACTTGAAACTAGATTACCACTACCTGTGTTGCGTGTTAACAGACGAAAGTAGCAAATTACATCACCTTGTGTTAAGATATCCTTTTTACCAGTTTGGAGAAAGAAGAGTGCTTAATACCTGCTGGTACTATTTTCATAATATGCAGTTAACAGTTAGATTAAGAACTGTCTTCCGCCAAGCCCAGGCAAATACAAAGATCTACAAACAGGTGAGTCTACTCATCCAGATGACCAGATCATATTCTGCATTATCTTCAATGTCTGAGCTCTGAAGACTCTGCGAGTGACAATAGCAACCTTCAATGCCATTAACTTGCAAGCAACAATAGATAGGTTGGAAGATATATACCTCAATTACATACATTTACTATGAATCTAGTGCAGCATTTGATCTCTTTTCCTTCCATGTTTTCCAAGCTTTTCTGACTTCATCTAGTTCAGAATGTGGAATGCTTGAGTTCCTATCCAATTTCTCAACCCAATCTGTCCAAGGAGAATTTGATGAATCTAGGAACATTGAAACTTTATGCAGCATAACAGATAAATAGAAGTCATCAACTGCCTGAAGAATTTGTTCTGATTCAACCATAGACACCATTTCTGGCCTTGTCATGTTTCCAGCACTTGCTCTCATTCTAAATGTGTTTCCCCTTAAAATTAAAACTTCTGCTGGGGCAAGAGGGAGGACGATTCGAGAAAATTTAACCAGCGACAATGCAAGGATGTCTCTAGGAAGCAAGTCCCGCTTTACTGCCACTGCAGTTCCAATCATTTTGCGGATCTGATGAGTTACCGAGTTAGTTTGTATATGATTAATCATTAATGTCATAAGTTTGAGCATTTAACTCTCTACAAAGGAATCCATTAAGCTATTTCATTCCATCCTATAAAAGAGAAGCAACCAGTTACCAAATGGCAGTTACAACCTAAAGTAAAGCAACTAGGCACCCAATGTGGACAGTTGATCATAATCATGTGAAACGAAGCATGCAAGCGTATTAACCACTGTTCACTGCTATGTCATGTGAAAAGGACCTCTGCAAAAGTTTCAAAGGGTCCAGTCTCAATGAGGCAGACTCTAAAAACCAGGTGATAAGCCACACAATTGCGTTAAATAAAGGCATTCAAATATCTTTAAATTCCTCCAATTACATAACTTTTAATTGTGGGTCAGTTATTCTGTTATCCCAACAGCCACTAAGAAAAATGTCGTGCAATGAACCACTGAGCATTAGAAGACTGCTAACTGCTGTCATGCTTAATTTTACGCACCACCTGAAAGGATAAGCATAAATAGACAGATCGATTCAAGCTGTCATAATACAATGGTTGCTGCTGGGGTTAAATCAGTTTTTTTCCACTTTTCTTTCCACTACTCATGGATGATGTGAAGCAAACCAAACAACTGATTTTTATCTTTTGGTTGGGGGGAGAGGGATTAGCAACTAGAGTGAGATATGAAAACAACATAAACCAGCCTCGAAATATCCAAAGAGTATGAATAGAATCTAGTCGCAATAAAGACATACTTGATGCAACATGAATGACTCCCCCCATATGTTGATCTCAACATAACCATATCCGAGTGAATTTTCCAAGTTCCCACAAGAACAATGAAAAACCCTTCTGAAATGGGAAGCATTTAATCTATCAGTCTCATCAGGCTCATATAACCATCTTGCATAGACAGCTGAACGGGAGTTTTTATAATTTAAATTAGAAGCGTCAACATCTAAAGATTTCTCCTCCTGTTCCCTGTTGCTTGAAGTGGATGGTTCACAACCGTCAAAATCCTCTCCATCACTTTCCTCAGATTCTGATCCAGAAGCTGAGATCATACCAAGAGAGTCTCTTCTGCTTGACTTGCCAACATTTCCAGGTGATTGCCTTACCTTCAATTTTTTCCTGTACTTTGACCTGACAGTATAATTATGGAAAGGATGTTCTCCCTACAACAAAGCATAACAGATGAAAAAATAACTATAGGGGTAGCTATCAAAATGTTACCCTTACATCATTCTTTTTTCAGTTAACAATAAAATGATAGTGATGGCTGGTGAGTCACCAGTAACTATGCCTCGTACGTGCACAGCAACAACCAAAGAAAGGGTTAGAATTTCTGAACATGAATGGGACAATATGCTTAAATAAAGATTCCAGCTTGGTGATGGAGATTTGGTGACATTTACCATGTATTTCTTCAATGTCTAGTAATTTTTTTTCACCTTCATAAATATAATTTAAAAAAAAAAAAAAACAGAGCAATTCGGAACTACAGGAGGTTAATAATGAAATAAGTCTTTTACCCTATGCAACAAATAAATCTACTATCGTCATGGTTATGTTAACTACATTAGGTAGATAAGGCAAATGGGATCTTCACGTTATATAAAGTAAAAACTAAAATAATATACCTCAAAGGCGCTAAGTATAGTGTTGAAGTCCGAAATATGATATTGAATTTCATTCTCACTAAGATGACTTTGGATTCCTATAATATCAGCAGGGAGGAGGTAAGAGTACTTTCTCAGATTGCACTCTCTTCTAGGATCAAATCTCCTGAGACAAACCAAAGCCATGTGGTCAGGGAACAGGGTGAGAGAGGGCATTGAATAACAAGGAAGTATGCCGCTTTTTACTTAACATGAAGAAACGAAACAGAACAATTCTTTAAAAAAAAAAAAAAAAAACTCTTATAATTGCAATCTCTCCTCCCAGTGGATACTTGTTTTCTCATGGATAACAATTTTAACTTGAATGAATCTAGGGTCTTTCATATATTAGTTGCATAATATACGAAATCAATTTTAGATTTTGATGCTACAACAGATTAGTAATAGTTGTAACACGTGAGACTAATGATCTTACTTTTTCGAAGGCAGAATACTAAAGACTCTGATAGTATGAGGAAGATAAGAGTTAATACAATTAGCAAGCAAAATGCCATAAGGGTCTCCTTGCCATGCATTCTCAGGAATCTCCATCTTTAAGGAGATCATAGTTGCCAAAGAGTGGACCTAGCACATCCGTCACATCAGACAGTTATGAAGTCAAATAAAGTGTATGTCCCCTCATGTGCAGGCAAGCAAAAAGAAAAGAAACAGGGGGAAATTGCTCAAAAGTCCCTAATTAGAAAATTAATTGTGCACAAGTACCTGGAATCCAGTTAAGGACTAAGGTCCTTTAGGAGAAATAGATATGCATAAGAAATGGCAATCTACCCTTAAAGTAAACATTCCAAAAAAAAAAAAAAAAACAAACATAAACGAAGCTGAAGGGAAAGCAAGGATGAAGGCACAGGTGAAGAGCGAAGGCGCAAGGATGGAGTAGACGAGTGAGCAAGGAGGGGACAGTGACTAAGCGTGATTCCAACGATAGAGGTGGCAGAAATGATGGGGGCAAGCTATTCCGGAGAAGGAAATGCCTTTTAAGTATTATTTATTCATAACTCCTTTTGAAAATTTCACTCCATTTTTGTGATCTATGAAACCAATAAGTTTCCATGGCAAGTAACAAAGATTCTTCCAATTTCAGTTTGTATTGTAGCTGAGTGCTGGTTTAACCTTTTCCTTTTTCATTTAATGCCCTTGATTTATCGTCATTTGCCGTGTTTTCTTCTTGTTGAAGCTTGGAATGTATGGATAGTCCTTAACATGATTCCAAGTACTTTGCACAATTAATTTCCTAAGCAGGGACTTTTGAGCAATTTTGCCAAGAAATAGCCAGTTTATAAATTCACAGATGAAAATAATAAGATTACTCCTTTGTCAGTTCTGCTACTTCGACCCCAAGCAACTTTGTACAGATCCCCATAATTGCTATCAAGGATGCCACCGGCCTTGAAAATAGCAGTTTCCAGTTCTTTCTCAATAGCTTCATGTCAAATTTGCAATGCTTTAGCAAGACGCCATCTGATTTATGAATGCCAGACGCTACTTTTTGTTTTTTAATTTGAAAAGAAGTAAATATGTAAGGCTTGTACTCATTAAAACTTCTTACATAATCATTTCACATTAAACCAGCTTTTACTCAATGCAGCTACTCACATAAATGTACATGGAACACTGATGTACAGCCAAATACATTACCGTTCCGGAAAAATACATTGAATAAATATATAGAAGTTAAATTTCCAACGTATTTGCTTCACGAGCTAGCATAATCATTTCTTATTTTCCAGCATAACCGAGGGAAAATAAGCAGAAGTAGCTTACTGGATAATCTGTGTTCATCTCGTTGCATTTGCAGACCTGAAAATAGCCATGTGAGATCACGCCATTCCGAACATTTCAAAACACATGCGAAATCCG